TTATTTTTAATGCATGGGTTTTACAGTTGTAAATAAATAAAAATTAAATCAACTTCAATCAATTTCATATTTTCCGATAAGCTGCTTAAATGGAAATTTTATTGTTATTGTAATAAAAAAACAACCTCCTTTGTCACATTTGCTATTTTTCTTTGTCACATTTTTTCTTTGTCACATTTGCTATTTTTCTTTGTCACATTTGCTATTTTCTCCTTTGTCACATTTGCTATTTTTCTCATATGCATGGTCTAACCCAATTGAAAAAAACTTTCTCTTTGTTTTGTTTACAAAAAATATGCCGTTCTGAAGTATTCTTTCAATATCTGGATTTTTTTCTTCCAGTTGAATCATATTTAGATTTGCTGAAAACCAAGCAAATCAAAATTTCAAATTCTTGTTGATCGCTCAAAAGCTTGTATAAGCAGCTCAAAACTGATTGTTATTGACCAAAATCTAAATTGGGGATAAACCTGCTCACAATCTTCTCTCCATTCATCAAAAGGTTTTTCACATCTTTCATTTCTAATTACGTAGTCTTGGTAAGCTTTTTTTATCAAAATATGAAGATTAGCAGCAGTTACCTAATTATGGAATTATAATTTTTTTCTTAAAGCGTGTATACCTCAATATTTTCTGAACAATATTGTTCAGTAATTGTTTCTATATCAGTATATCACAAAATGAAACTCATCCTTCCGAAAAATGAAAAAATTAAACTTTAAATTTTACCTGATGCACACTTCTTGTTTTTAATACATGTGATGCATTAAGGTATGATTTAGATTTCCCTGCTGACGAAATCTCTGATTCAACTAAAGCAGAACACCACCCGGAATCTTTCAACCAATCTCCAATTGTTTTGAGAGCCGCCGTTTTAATATGAAATGGCCCCATCATAATTATAAAAGCTTTTTCTCAACTGTATTCTTTCCAATTCCACTATATCAGTTTAGCCAAGGAATACAATGACTGGTCAAAATTAATGACAGGTGTTTGACCTTTATTTAAAAAATCAACAGCTGTCTTGATCACATCCATTCCACGTTTGATCATGGCAGCAGATTTAGGAGATTCGCGGAACAATGGCAGCAACGCCGAATGATCAACTATTTTGACGGCATTAATCTGTGATGTATTGATATTGACCAAGTTAAAACAAACACAATTTCCAGTCAATTGACAAAAATTCAAATAAATCTTCACTTAAACGCCTTTTAGCCATTTTAAGTTGCTATATTTTTCTATTTTAAATTATATGATCTATCAAATTTACTCGAAAACTCATTTAAATGATATACAAAATAAATCATTTAAAAAAATCGCTGTTATTTTTTCCATTTCTTACAAGTTTTTTAAACAACTGGCTGAATTTTTTATTTAGTATGTGCAGAAAAGAATTTTGTAACAAATTAAAGCAAAAAAACGAATAATAGACGACTTAAAAGATTACAAATTATATGAATTTGGAAAGCAAGAAGAAGAGAGCGAACTTCGAAGGACTGATGTTTGAGAAAAATAACTAGACGAATAAAAATATTTGGAGCACATCTCTAACCAAAATGCTCTGTAGGAACTATAGAATTTTGGAACAAAGAAAAAAGACAAAATTTTGTAACTGCAAAAAAAAATATAAACACTTTTTAACTTGTATGTTTTAATTTAATGGGGTTCAAATCTGAAATTTTTTTGTTCCAAATTCTTATAGATTGGATTCCATAGGACTTTTTGACTAGGTTTAGGAACAGTTACAGTAAAAAAATGAGACTTAATTGAATGATGAGTTACACGAGAATGAATTTTAGAAGATGGCACAAGAGACACAAGCTCTTTAAAGCAGCGCTCATTATAGTATTTATAGAAAAGAGAAAGAAAAGCTACATTACGACGATCTAAAAATGTTTAAAGATTGACTGCAAGAGTAGGTCTAAATTATGTTTACAATGCATTTTTGCACCTCGTCTAAAAGAGAAAGAGCATCATTAGAAGATACACTCCAGATATGGCAACAGTATCCCATATATGTCGGGTTAAAGATTTATAAAAAAAGGATAGAATCCGGAATAAGAAAGTGGCGAGCAGGTAAGAGATGCAAACAAGACCAAGGTTCATTTTTTGAATATCATTAACTTGAAAAGTCTATATAAACGAATATACTTGAAAGAACGTTCACAAGATTTCATATCAGCAGTTCATTTTTTGATTAATTCAAATCACTGTGAACTCACGTGACAGTTTTTTTAAATTAAAGAATTTTTATTTTTTTTAAAGGATCAAAAAACAAAAAGGTCTAAGGATTAAAAAACAAGTAAACTTTTCATTTATGTGATATAAGAATATATTGGAATTTCAGAAACAATTTTGTAGTAAATCATTCTTTAGTAATAACTGTCTAAGTTTAACCTTAAACTCATTAAATATTGTAAGATTTTTAAGTTCAGTTATATATGTTTTATTTCAAGCCTTTGGTCCTCTAATTGAAATTAAAAACTCAGTTGCCACAAAATAACTTTTGGGTTGTGTATAGGTGTTATTTGAATATCTAGTTAAGTATTTATTCTGATTTGTTTTAAATAACGGATTAAAAGTTTTTGGAATAATATTTTTATTAACTTTGAACATAAAAATTAGATGGTGATAAATATTTATTATTTAATAACGTTCGTCATCTTGTCCCTTCTTCTCTTTTATATATTCTCCAGTTTTTTTACCACAATACCACTACGGTCCGATTATTGCTGAAATATTTGCTTTAAAATTGTTTTGCAAGATTTCTAAATACAATTAAAACTACCTGTTGTTTTTATGAAATAGAGAGTTAACTTTTTAACCTTATTTTTTTTAACCTCGGTTTTGGTTAAAATAAATAGTAATCAAAATCGAACGTTATTTTTACAATTTTACAATTAACGGTTAAAAAGTTAAAAAGTTCTCTGTCAAACTATGTGGAATTACTTTGTTTAATGCCATTTTATCGATTTTTTGTTGAAACGGGACGAAGCAATACACTCGTAATAATAAAAATGTATTTATTTTACTGTATATTCTTATTTCATAATATATGTCACTGCATTGTTCTTTATTTTTAATTCATACATTTATTTTATTTGAAAAAAAATGTATAAATTAAAAAAAGAACAATGCTAAATCTGGAAATAATAAACTATACATGTAATCAAAGAGGTTTAACTAAGTTTTTATAGGATAAGCTTAATTTTTTTAAATGTTGCAGCAATTTTTATTCAATACTTCAATCACTATTAATTATTTACTAGGCATTTGGAATAGCCAAAGGAATAGCCCCAAGGCCCCTATTTTTTCAAGAGATTTTTTTTAGTTGTTTTTTATGACATTATGGTAATTTAGATTTCGCTACTTTAAAACAACCCCAGGCCCCGAAAACTCAAAATTTAAATGAAAACTCTTTTCTAGGCTTCTAGCCTAGTAAAAAGCTTAGAGAATAAACAACCTATTTTTTGTCTTACTGCTTATTTCTTCATCATATTATTATATTATCGCACAATCGCGAAGTACGAAAAATCAATTTAACAAAATTAAGCTTTAAAGCACTATTTGACGACATTTGGTTTCAGCAAAACAATCAGACTATTGTTGTTAATTTTTTTAGCATTTCGTTTTAATAAGAAGCATTATAAATGCCGATTTTTTTAATCCACTTTAGTGTATTGAATGACCGCTCTCCAGTTTGTAGCTGCAGTACTAAAATACATTCGCAGAACGATAAAGTTTTTGGAACGAATAATTTGAATAAGGTCCTTACAGTGGCGGATTAAGACTTCTTTGGGCCCGGGGCTGTTTTTGTTTTTGGAGGCCTTTTAATGGGCCAGAGCCTAAAAATGATTAAAAAAAAAAAGTCTTCTGAAATTTTTGGTGGCCCCTAAATTATAGCCCCCACCCCCTTGATCTGGCACTAGGTCCTTAGTGTTAACATTCCTCTTCTTATTGTCAGCTAAAATCAGCGTTTCATATCGTTTTTTAAAAAGTTAGATTTTAATTCATTTCATAATTTAAAACATGCACGAATGATAGAAACAAGTATATAAATCGTGCACTTTTTTAAAACACCCAAAGAAAATAAGTGTAATTAAATAATAATTACAGCATATATTCTGGCTTTGGATAATTTTAATTAATTTAATAATTACCACTTTTTTTTTATTCCATTTTAGAAGTATTTATTTTTGTCAAAATGGCTTTTCCGTAACATTGCTTCACATCACGTGAGCATACATTATACATAAAAAACTAAAAGAATCTAATTAAGTTCGAAATTTCGTCAGCTCAGAATACAAGTGATGTATCGAAAATTTATTAAAATTTTACATAAATATGAAATTATCTAATTTATGTAAATTTACCATTATTTTAATAAAAAAAATTTATTTTGATACATTCTATAGTAACGTTATATAAAAATAATATTTTACATTTGTATAACTTTAAATTTACATAAGTTAGATTATAACATATTTATATATGGTTTTCAAAAATTTTCTATACGACACATGATTCCGAGCGATTTGTAATCAATTAACAAACTGTAATGTCCTTTTATTCTCACTGTTGATTTGGTATTACCTGTTGCAAAACCTCTGATCGCCGTGCCAGCATTCGTTAAAAAAAATTGATAAATAAACAGTAGTTTCAAATGAATGGTTTTTCCTACGCTTAATAAAAGAATCAAAAAGTGCTTAAAAGTTAAAATTTTCATAACTCTAACGTAACATTTATCAGAAGGTCGCCATTTCGGAAGTTTAATATCAAATTCCAAGTATACAAATGTGCGGGTTAATCTGAATATATATAACAAATGAGGAGAAAACTTTTATTTTGCGCTGTAATAGTTTTATTTGTAAGCAATTTTCTTATATTTTACGTACTTATTGTAGTTTTTCATTTGTTATTTTTGTTTGCTGCTGACAATAATGATTTTTATTGTAGTTATATAATGTACGGTTTAGGTGACTACCATTGAAAAAGAACAAAAAGCGGCAGAATGTCCATATTTAATATTTCAACGCACTAAGGTATTGAGGTGGACAATTACTTTCTTCGAGTTTAATGAAACTATTCGATTTGTTACACGAAACGATTTGTTTTGTTACGTGAAACGATTTCTTTTTTTACATGAAACGGTTTGTTTAATTACACAAAACGATTTGTTTTGGCATGAGGCTTTTCGTTTTAGTACTAATTAACTTTTTTATAAAAGCTGTTTGCCGTACAATTTTTTTTAAAATCTTGAAGAAAAGATATTTTAAATCCAATCCAAAAGATATTATAAATTCAATGTTCATTGAATTTAAAATATCTTTTCATCGATCAGTTTTAAAATTTTATTTTTGGGAAAATAATGTGTTTTTTGAAATTTATTTGACTGCAAAATTCATTTAGGTTGCACAAAATGAATGCAAATCTGACAAAGAATGTAGAAAAGATTACTGCTGCGTAAAAAACAAACAGTGTCAAGGTAGTTGCCAACCATCAAAAAAGGAAAACGAACGATGTCAAGAAGAAACTGAAGCAATTAAGGTAAATATCGATAATATACAAATAAAGAAAGCGATATTTGTTAATTTGTTAAGAAAGAAATTTATTTATCTTTGAAAAAATATTTTAATATAATAAAACAAATAACTTGAAGATTTTATAGCTATAACGTTAATTAATTGTGTATCAGAATCAGACTCTATTAACCTTTATGTCCGTGAAATCTCTAAAGTTTCAATCCTCTATCTAACAATTCTAACAATATTGTTTATCAATCAAAAATCATAACAACTCTAACAATATTGTTTATCAATCAAAAGTCATAACAATAAGAATAGGCAAACTAGTTAATAAAAAAATTTAAAAAACTTTTATATCATAACAGCATTTATTTTTTAACTTCGTAGAAATATTCTTCCAATTTTTAAAGACTTAAATATATTCAAGAAAAAATCTGCCTTCTTGTGAAAACCATCATTAAAACGCTACATTTTTTGGAACACACTTTCTCTCGAGCACCTCCATCACACCACCATTATTTTACGAACACCATCTTTTCATACTACTAGCACAACACTATGCCTAGTGTTTATATCAGGGGAGGTTATACTTAAGGTGTTACACTTTCCCTTCTTGCCCCCTTCCTGCCCCCCCCCCCCCCCATATTTTAAAAACAACCAACCTATTTTCAACTTTTTGTCGATTTTTTAAAAAATATAATTGGCTATTCGACATATGACATATTTTAAATTTTCGGAATTCTCTTTCTTTCTAACCCTCCCCTCCTCCCTTGTCATATTGTCATATATAGAATTGTCCCTGTTTATAGTTATAACATTATCTCATGTTTATTTATTTAGACAACATGTGGATGTTCTTATGGTTTCGAGTGTTTAAAAGATGGAACTGGAAGTAGCTTTTGTAAAAAGACGCTTAAAGATCCAGAAGAACATACTGAAGTAAAAAAGAAAAAAGTCAAAAGAAATTAAAGTACATCATGCATATATTATTGAAATGAACCATTAAAATACCGCCATACTTTCACATAAAAACCGTTTGTTCCCAAACTCAATCAATTTTTAAATCTTATGTTTTATGGTACTGATGAAATAATGTGATAAAAACTCTGGGTGGATAAAAAGTAAAGATTATACGCATATGTAAATATGCAAATATCGTTACTCTGTAGTTTATCATTGTTATCTACTAGTTGGTTTGCTGTTAATTCTTCAAGTAAACGAACTTTATGCGTTTTTGATCCGCATTTTACTCTCAAGATTATTGTTAAATTGATATCGAGGTAAAAAACTTCCTCGCTTATTGATATCGAGGTAAAGTACTTCCTCGCTTGCGATTACATATTTTTATGACTGATGAGAGTTATTTTACTGTGAAAAACGCTTATTAATAAACAAGTCAATTTAATCTAAAATATTTCCATACATCAAGACAACAATGACCTCGTTAGGTAAACATCCGCCAACTTTATTTTTTAAACACGCATTAACCTGCAAAAGAATACAGAACTTACAAAGTTCACTGCTTTTCAATGACCTAAATTGTGAACATTCCCTTTAACGCATTTGTTACATTGTTACATTTAAAAAAAATAGTTCAGCAGCCCAACTTCAAGATCATTAACTTCTACATCATCATAGCCTTCATTACCACCAGCCCCTTTATCACCTACAATACTTTATCAGTCGTAGTTTTTTATTTTTACTAAAGATTAACAAACTTTTATAACAATATCAAAAAAAACTTGTAAATACATTTCGAAAATTTATTTAAAAATTTTGAAAGAAATTTACATCTTCAAAAACTTTTTAAATATTTTGTATCATCTTAACAATGCGAAAATAAAAACAGAACAATCTTATTTTTTCTTTCATAAAAATGTCTATATTGTAAAAATAAAAAGTAAATATTATTTTACTTAAAAATCTTTATTTTTTTTATAAACAATTAACAATTCGAGTATAAAAAAAGAGCCAACAACGTTTTAGCTTTTTAAAAAGGAGGTTGATGTTATTCACTTTATTACAAAGTGAAAAAGGTGAACGGGGGTTGTAATAACACTTTTTGATGCCAAATAAGTTTCTTAATTACACTTTTTGATGACAAATAAGTTTCTTGATCACATTTTTTTAAGCATGAGTTTGCGTTAGATTGACTTTCAGATTATTAACAGTCGTGGTGTAGTGGTTAGAGTCTGGTTTCAAAACTGGAGGTCCGCGGTTCAAATCTTGTTCTGGCCATATATGCATTATTGGTAAAGAATGAGACGTGAACTTCCTGGTTAAATTCCGTTCTGCGGTGCTCTGTTGTAAGATTGTTAAAACTTCTTGCAGCACCTAAATAACTTGAAAAAAAAAAAAAAAAAAAAAAAAAAATATTTCAAAAAACAACATCTCAGTAAGTACTTCTTCATAAATTGTAAGTTATAAAATCTTGTTCATAAGTTTTTAAAAATAAAATTTTAATCTTTTGGTTTTTATTTTTAACCATTTAAATCAACAAAAATAAATTTATACAGTGTTATTTGTGACGCAATCATATAATGAACTTAAGAAGTTATTTGGTATCAAAACATAAACCTCTATATTACAACAGAACAGAAAGTTTAAAAAAATTTTCATAGAAATACTTACTTTTTTAGAAAAATGTTTAATAGAAATACTAACTTTTTTAGAAAGTAGCGCTTTTAAGTATTACAAATCTCTCTCTCGCCTCTTTCTGTTCAGTTTATTTAATGTATTTTGTTGCTTAATTCAGTTAAAAATTTTCAAATACTGCAAAAAATAGTAATTAACTTCTACGATAATGAGGCAAATCATTAAACTATAGCTAAGTCGTTTGGCGCAACGCAAACTCCGAAGTTGAGATGGCTTAATAAATAAATAAATTCTTAAAGGTGCTTCCTCATACTACAAACTATTTCCAAAGACTGGGTTATTGACAAAATTTTACAAGCAAGAATATAAAAATACTTGTAAATTATTTCTGGCTTCCTGCAGAAAACTTGAAAGATACGATTAGACATTATTTTAAAAGTGGAAATGAAAACCTCGTGTAATAGTGTGCTTTTTATATATATATATATATAAAAAGAGTTAAAAATAAGATCACATCTTATGTTTGCTATTCAAGATCTCCACATTTACAACGAGATATATTTACACAAGGGTGTATACACAAGGGTGTATTCAAAAAGGAGCAACAAAAACAATCATAGAAATCAAGCATAAGTCATATAAGGAGAGGCTCTGTATCATTGTTATCAAGGATACAGAGCTTCAAAATAAAAGTTTTATCTAAGCTCTCTTTCTAAACAAAATGTTTTAAGAAATCAATAATAGTTAAAAAAAATTCTAGAAGCAGTTGCTAAGTATACCTCTAAGAGATTGAATGATTGAATCATTCTTGCTAGAGTATTTTGGCAAAAGTTAGCCTCAGTTCTTCAAAAAAGAGGAAAGTATTATGTGTTTGGTTGATGATGGAATACAATGAGTATTAACTTTCAAATTAAGTTGTTGGAGTTAATAAAGTAATTACAATTGACATTAAACTTTAGCGTCGGTGTACCACTCATTGCAAGCGGCTTTGGAAAAAACCCATTTAATTTCAACGGTGGATGTATACTTAATTATTTAAACCATATAAAAAATGAAGGCTCGCGTAGTTTAAAAATATTTTGGAAAATTGTTGCCCGATTATATGTCTAAATAGTTGAATTTATGGAACATAGTTAAAACCAGCTAGAAAAACAAATGGATCACAACGGAGGAACAGTAAACTTGACATACGGTGTGCAAGAGGAGTTTTATTTTAGTTTGATTAAAGTTACAAGGCGGTTCATTTAACCGTGAACAAGACTTTATTGAAGTAGATAAAGATATGTTAAAATGAAAAAAAAGATCAAAGAATGAGGTTCTTTATTTTAGGGATACAAGTCGGTCATTGTCACTAAGATCTACTTTGTTTAAATACATGATTGTTGATTAAAAAAAATACAAATCTCCATCTTATGTCTACCAAAGAACACGCTTATAACCTAAATGTTCTACATGGAAAGTTGCCGCAGCAATTCTCTATCGCATGATAACTTTTATAGTTATTTTTCATTTTCAATAGTAAAAATAGCAAACTGGATGAATTATTTTTATATATAATGCTTAATTTTTTTTGTAACTTATAAATACCTATAATTATAATGTATATTATTGATAAATTAAAGAGAAAAAGATTTCTACTTTTCTTATATTTAATGTTAATAATAATTTCATCAATTTTTAACAGTGCCTTTTTTTGTCAAAATAATCACTTTTATTAAAATCGAAGTAGAAGACTAAATAATTAAAATGAAAAAAAAATGATTATGATTTTCAGAATCAGCATGAAAAACTAATTATAAAAAATTGGTTAAACTATAAAAAAAATCTAAAAAAAGATGATTATGGACCCCCCCCCCCGCCTCTATTAATTAGTCATCAATAATCAATTTAATGATTCGTTTACAGAAATTTTTTTTATTTATGTATCAAGCCACATGATGTGTTTTACCGTTTTTAATTAGTTTAAACATTTCAAAATTCTGCGTACATCTTAATAAATCGACTCGTACTTAAGGTGAGTTTCCACTCATCCATTTTTCTACGGAAAAAGGAAAAATAATCACGTGAGCATGCGCAGTTTTCTTTCGGACAAATAAAAACTTTTATTACGCATGCTCACGTGATTATTTTTTTCTTTCCTATCCCGTTCCCGTAGAAAAACGGATGAGTAGAAACTCGCCTGAAGTCGTAATTACATAATTCGAACAAGTGAAATTTAAACTTTTTGATATAAAGAAATAAATGTATATTTACCCAAAACATTTCTCTTTTTAAATGTAAAATGCGGTAGTAGAGTAGTGATAGTAATACATTCACCTTGTATATATGAAGTTGAAAATTAATTAGTGTGATTGGCTTAGACTTAGGTAGGCATTTTTGATAAAAATATTCCCAAAAATGCTAATTTTTTTCATAAAATCCTGGTAGCGGAGCCGAATCGGGAGTCGAGCCGGAGCCGGACATTTCTTAGGACCTGGACCTGTAAAAATCTGCTTCAACATATCCACATTTTTAAGAAGTTTTCTGCATTCATTTCCCGCAAACTGGCCCTCGTGATACTGGCTCAATTGAATGTGGAGGGCGGCTGGCCACTTAACAGCTTCTATCCAAGCAGATTTAAGGATCTTGAAAAGATGGTTGACAACTCCTAAGAGAAGATGTAATTCCATCGGTAAAATGATTTCCAAAATCAGAACATTGACAGGCCCACAGATGATTGGCTTTCGAATGTCATTGCCAAACAGCTTTGCATTAGTAACAACACCGCCAGATTGCTGAAAAGACTCAAGGTTTGAATTAATTGAGCCCAGTGTTCGCAAGTTTCCAGATTTGGCAAAACAATTGGATTTGACGTCACACCAGGTACAAGGATGCGTACTTGAATGAGTTTGAAGACCACATATTTGCAACTTTCATATAACAAGCCAAAATTAGTTTAACTCCATTTGCATTATTCAGTGACCAGATTTGTTCAATATTGGAGTGTGTTTCTGGCAAATCTAATGAAACCCCAAAAAATAATTTGTCTCTTGACTCCAGTGTCTTTACCAGTCCTTTGAGTGAGAGGTTGTTGTTGGTGTGGTGAGCTGGTTTCATCCCTTAATACAGTATCAACAATGCTTAGGCAAAACTTGAGAAAATCTTTGCCACCATCAATTCCGTCAACAAAACAGCCATCAGTTTTATACAAAGTTACTTGAATTACGCAAATATTGCGTGGTGTAGTACATCTAAAAGCAAGCTTGAAACACTCTATCGAAAACAAAAACATGTCTTAAGAATAATGAATTTTAAAAATATAAACGAACATGCAAAACCACTGTTCGAAATTATGAATATTTTTACGTTATACGAGATAAACGTTTATAAAATTTTATGTCTCATGTACAAAAGTAAATTTCAACAATGCCCCTCAATTTTTAATGATCTTTATGAAATAAAACCTAACATCAAATATACTTTACGCACAACAGGCTTAATTGAACCATTGTGCAAAACTAAACAAGAACAATTTAAAATTACGTATCGTGCTCCGCATATCTGGAATAAAATCTTAACAAAATATAGTCATTTACCAGGTGTAAACAATATAAATTGCTTTCAAAAACTAATAAAAAAGAATATTTCAAAGTATACAAATCTTATTAATGATTTCTTTTAAACTGCTTTGTTTTTTCGTTTGTTTGTTTTTTTGTTTTTGTCTTTTTACATTGAAAAGTTTTTGGTTTTAACACTATTTACTTTATTTTAACATATTATAGGACTTTAATATTGTAAAAAAATAATTACAACGGTTCTTGATGATAAGACTTAATGGTCTTCTGTTAGTTTCCCGCGTTTTTATTTATTTTTGTATAACTAACTCTTATTATTTTGTCTTTGATACTTTGACCTAAAACCAAAACATACATATTTTATAGTTACAATAAACTTTGTTTAGTAAGTTTGTGTAAAACTTTCAAGTTATTCGTTTTTAAAGAAAATAGAAACTTGTCAAAAATATACTTTTTGAAATCTAGTATTATTTCTTAATAGTCAAGACTTTATTTCAATATATATGTTAAAATTATTTAAATTTAAATTTTTACCAGGGGTAACTGTAAGTGGAGGCCCGCCGGATGCTTTAGCTATTAGAATAGTTCCTTCCGGAGATAATTCTTTATTGGAAATAACTCGAGATGAAATTTGTTCGGATGATTTGACATCTTTTGCTGCTAAAGATTGAATGTTTTCCCTTAACATTATTTGAGAGCATTGGTGGAACAAACCTTTTCTTAAAGGGCTAAGGGATTTGCTGCAACGTACCTTTTTTCTCAATAGTGGTTTGCTCTATAAGAGGACGCTTATCTTGGAGCATTGAACGACCAATTCGGCATATTAGGCAACAACACATCGTGCCTCTTGTTTCAGGTCTCACTTGTATTGACTTAAAATCAAACAAAGGAGGGAGTGCAACTTCTTTCCCCTCTTGCTTCCTACGCAAAGTAATTCTACACGATTTGCAGAATCCTTTTGGTACCCGAGTATCACTGATATTGATCTTGGTCTTGTACAATTAGCATATTCGATCTGCCTAAAAAGTAGTAATCTGTCTTAATCATTTTTTCAGACAGAGAAAGCACACAAACTTTCGATTTTCATCATGATTCTTTGCTTGATTTGGCATTGTGGCAATTCACTAAATTTGACTTCACAAAATCAAACTCTGCCTTTTACAAAATTTGACCTAAATTTATATTTGATAACAATCCACTTAACATAGTAACACATATTATTAATTAAAAACTATTAAAATAAAGGAAATATTTACTTGATTTAATTGAGGTAAAATTAAATTACAAAGAAATAATTCTTGAATAGTTCTTTCCTTACCACGAAACAATTGTTTAAACTAATTACTTATAAGGAAATTACATTATTGATAATTGTCACACTTATTAAACTAATGATACTTGTCACACGGGTTGTTTTATTTCTAAACAACCCTTCAACCTAATTAGTTATTCAGTCAGAGTAATTTTCCTCCGACTGGCCCTCCAAACTTTGTATTGGTCAGACATAGGCGCCCGCAGAAAATTTTCTAAGGAGGGGGGGGGGAACATTTTTTGTTATTGCTTTTTTTCCTGTTATCTATTATGTAAAAATCAAGATATGTAAGATATAAAATAAAGAGAAGAAAAAAATTATATGTCCGTGGAAAAAAGAAGACAATTTAAACTTGTCAGCACTGTTTTTGTGTATAAAATATTCACATTTTTTTATTGATCTTTATTAAATGTAAGGAATTAAACAGACATTGGCTCCAAAAAAGATGAAGATGATACGTCATTGTAATCTTTGCACAGAGCCTCCATATAAAGTTTTTTTTTTTAATTGATACTATATAAATATACAAAATATAGTAGCAATTAAAGATTTTTATTATAAGTAATAGAGCATTGATAAGCATATCAAATAAAGACAAAAAAAATTATAATTTAGCTGTAGTTTACTGAGCATTTTGTTATGGTGTTCAGACGTGAAGGTAGTACATAAAAAAAGCTTACAACATTTATTTAAAGTCAAATTTATTTTTTAAACAGGAACTGGAGTTGTCTGTTATCAATACCAAACATACCTATAATTTTATCTATAAAGTCTTTTTTGTTGCAGTTTATTTTGTCTCTGTGTGCGCTTAACATGCATAAACCAGAGAGACGGTCATTTGACATAGTTGACCTAAGCCATGTTTTGACACGACGCAATGTCCTAAACAATCGCTCCACCGTACATGTTGTTGCTGGTAAAGTTAACAATACTAATAAAGCATACCTGAGACTGGGATAAAATTGTGTGAAAGGTAGTAAATCGATAAAATCTAGGCTACTTTTGTAGTCTTGCGCATTCCAAAAATCAAACCAACTCAAGGCTTCAGTTTCAAAATTATCGAAGTTGTATACTTTATTAATCGTAGAAATTTTTTCTTTAAAGTGTTGAGGACTCAGTTGGCACAACTTAGACGGATGAAGAAATACTAAGTTAAATTGTGCACTATTGGCTTCACAAAATCGACTCTCCAAAGAGCCGATTAGAGAATCTAAGTATGGAATGTAAATCGTTTGTATAAAAACTTCTTCAACACTTATGGTTCCCGGATTACTTCGATACTTTTGTTTTCCGCACTGTCTTGGAATTATCAGTTCAATATTCATCTTCTGTGCCAATTGCGCTGTTTTCTCAAAAATATCCTTGAAATAAATATTGGACTCACCTCTGTAAAGTTTTACAACATTAAGTAATTTTTGAACTTGCAGTTGGACTTCTGGAAGATCAACTTGAACAGCTTGAAGAGCCTGAGTAACTGATTCAAGTATGGCAGAGTACTGCGAAATGATATGGAGACAAAATATAAATGTGCTGGACTTTGATGAACAATAAAGCTGATGTGCAACTTGTCGAGTACATCGATTTGCATGCATTGAAAATTCTTCCAGTTGGAAAAAAATATCTTCAAATTTACTACAAAAAATTCGAATACTTTTATACTTGCTTGTCTATCTTGTCTCACATAGAAGGGGAATATTTGGATCCTCTTTGGACTTTCACGAAAAAACGAAATAATTGCTTTAATAGTTCCAATAGTATTTCGTATAACTGCAACATCATTTAGATCATTTAATACAAGATTGAGTCTATGTGAGGCACAGTGAACAAAGGCAGCTTTAGGGTAAATCATTTGAATTTTTGTCTGAACACCGTTTTCTTTTCCAGCCATCGTGGAGCACCCATCATAACCTTGACCCAGCAGATTATTAAAGAGAAGACCAAATGTTTTGCAACTTTGAATAATACAATCAGATATTGTGACAGCGTCCATATCTTTTAGCGGTGAAAATCCAAGAAATTCTTCACGAATGATAGCTTTCTCACTAAATGTATCAACAAACCGCACTCCCAGTGATAACTGTTCAGTTCCTGAAATACCTGCTGTTTCATCGACAATGATCGAGAATCCAACAGCATTGTTGGCAGCTTTTACAATGTCCTCTCGCAGAGCTTGTTCAGAAAAGTTGATTAAATCATTTTGTGTTCGATGTGATGTGTAACGTGCATTTGCAGCAGCTGTATCAAAGTGGTTTTTTAAAATACTGTCTCCTCCCTCAATCCTATACTCATAAAGTTGTTGGACATTTCCTTTATTACTATTTTTCCCACGTAATGCCAAATCATTTGTTCCGCAAAATAGGATTGCAGAGATAATAGGATACAGCTTCTTTTTGTTTTCTTCAATAACTCGTTTTACTGAATTATCTATCTGACAAATAATATTTTATTTGGATCTCGTATTGTTAATGCAAAGTGTTCAGCATCTTGTTGAGCTCCACGATGCCATGCTGAGCTGATATGGTTTTTGGCACATTCATTAAAATGTTTATACTTTGTGAAAAGATAAGTAATGAAGGCACCTTGAAATCCTCTTTGAACTGGTTGTGGAAATAAAATACAAAATACGCAAAAAGCACCTTTTAATTTAGGTGAATATGATAACCATGGAGTATACTGAGATAGCCAAGAACTCCTGAAACAACCTTTTCCGATTACAGATATGTCCCCTTTAAAATCGTAGGGCGAATGAGGCTTGTAGGGATCAGTTAGCAAGCGATACTTATAATCAATAGGTATTTTTGCAGAACATTTTACATAAAGTCCAATGTCATATTCTAATCTAGAACCTCCACTTTCAAGTTTTTTAGTTTCTGGTTCGGGTGTTGTCGATAATGATAAACAAGCAACATTATCCGTTTTCGGTTTTTTGCAGTTATTAGTTGAAGTTGTTTTTTTATCAGGTGTCGACTGCTGTCTGACAGGTTTTAAAAATTTCCGAATATCCATGGCACCTAAAAGTAAAAAAAAAGACGGATTTACAATAAATTTTCATTACATTAAAACCATACTTTTTCATGTGAAGATAAAAATTTCTGAAAAAGAAACCAGAAATTAAGGAGCGCATTTCTAAAAGGGAGTCCATTTTTTCTAAAATTGAGTTTTTTAACATTCGGATTTTTTATTGAAAAAGGAACAAACCTAACTATGTTAGTATGAATAAAAACATTTTTCATCATTTTTATTTACGATTACAAAACTATTGGTGTTCAAAAAATACTTCGCCCGATAACTTTTTATTTTTTTATTTTTTTCAAAACAATAAAAATGTTACTAAGCTCCTTTAAGAAAAACACTCTTCAATTCTAAAAATTAAAAAGGGAAAAAAATATTTACTTACTTTAATACAGTAATTTTTAAAGAATTTTTTACCGTTTTAAAAAGAAAACTCACTATTAACCCTTTAGCGCCCCGTGTAGCAGATCTGCTACATAACTTTAAAAACCTTTTACAGTTGTCCTGTCAACAAAGTGATCTTAAAAACACCCATTGTAGCATATTTACAACATAATTTTGTTGATCCGATTTTCCCAGGTTCATATAATTGGATGTTCAAGGCAAAAAACCACATCAAAATTGTATTTCTAAAAATCGATTAATCGCGGTCGAACTAATGTTATTTAAAGTAAGTTTTCTCCTCTTTTTTATATATATTAAAGCTTTTTTGTTTATTTTCTTGTAAATTGATAACATATGTATGTTTTATGAGTATATAAATGAGTTTACTCTTTTTTAATCTAACACAAAATGCTTTCTGAACTTATATGTATCATATATGCTACAATGGGCTTTAAAGTATATATATATATGTAAATATATATATATACTTATATGTACGTATATATGTCTATATATATATATATATATATCTATATATATATATATATATATATATATATATATATATATATATATATATATATATATATATATATATATATATATATATATATATATATATATATATATATATATATACATATATATATATATATATATATATATATATATATATATATATATATATATATATATATGTACATATATATGCATATATATATATATGTACATATATATGCATATATATATATATATATATATATATATATATATATATATATATATATATATACACATACATACATATATTACTTTTCTTTAGATGAATAAAAATAAAAAATTAAACATTGAAGATGCTCTAGCATACATTCTAGATGGTGAAAGTGATTTTGAGGATCTGAGTGAGTCAGACTCTGATTTTGAACCTGATCTTTCGACTGCAGTTGTAAGCAGTACTAAAATTGTGCATGATAACAACAATGCCAATATACCTTTACCCATTTTGGAGTCTCTTACCCAAGAAAGCAGTACAGACGATGATATGCTTTGTTTCAACTCCTCACCTCCACCCAAAAAAATTAAAAATAATAAAAATAAAAAGAGTTTAAGTGTTTTGCCACTTTGGAAAAAAGTTCCACTTGATAATGACTTGATTGGTAATATTACTTTTCAAGAAGTACCTATTGAACCTATTCCAGATGAAACTACCACTCCATACGAATATTTTAAAATGTTTGTTGATGACAATCTTATCGACATTCTTGCTGAACAATCTAGTTTATATAGTTGCCAGTCATCAGGTATAATAAATAGAATCGTTTATTGGTATTTATTTTCGTATGGGTCTTGTGAAACTACCATCAGTGAGATCTTATTGGGAAACCTTTATGAATTATGATGGAGTAAGCTCAGTATTATCAAGGAATAGATTTCTTTCTGTTCTTTGCTATTTACACTTTGTTGACAATTTAAAAGTAACAGATGAAGTAAAGAAAAATGATCGGTCCTGAAATTTTCTCTCAGTTTTTCCAACCTTGGTTGGAAAAACTGAGAGAAAATTTCTTAAAAGTTTCTCCTGAAGAAAATCAATCAGTTGATGAGATAATGGTTGCCTTCAAAGGAAGGTCATTTTTGAAGCAATATGTCCCAAATAAACCCAATAAGTGGGGGTTTAAACTTTGGGGTAGATGTGGTGTCAGCGGGTATTTGTATGACTTTGATTTATATCAAGGAAAAGAAATAAAAAAGAAAGATGAATATTCTCCTCATGGTATTGGGGCATCTGTTGTAATCAAAATGACCTCAACTTTGCCAGAAAATCATAATTTTAAAATATTTGCTGATAATTATTTTTCTTCTTTGCCTTTGCTAGATGAACTGAAAAAGCGTCGAATATGGTATGTTGGAACAGCACGCCTTAAACGCCTTAACAAATGCTCATTGCCTTCAGAAAAAAAATTGAAAAAGCAAGGACGTGGATCATTTGACTATCGTACTGACACCATTTCTAATAACATAGCTGTTAGTTGGATAGATAACAAGGCAGTAACTTTAATTTCATCTTTTGCGAGTATTGAACCAATCAATACAGTAGGGCGTTATGACAGAAAAACCCGCAAATATATTATGGTAAAGCAACCTTACATAGTCCAGTTTTATAATAAAAATATGGGTGGAGTTGACAAACTGGATATGATGTGCTCATTCTATAAACCAAATTTGAAATGCCATAGATGGTATGTATATATATGGGCACATACCCTTCTTATTGCGTTATCAAATGCATGGTTTTTGTATTGTCGGGACTTAAAAATTATTTGCCTCACTAAAAAATTCATGCCTCTAAAAAAGTTTCAAGCTGCAGTAGCTTCTAGCCTGATAGCTGTTGTAAAAAGTAAAGCTGGAAGACCATCACTTGATGCAATACCTCTACCAACCAAAAGACCTGCTGCTGTTCAGAGTATCCTACAAAGGATATCCGGTTAGACGGATTTGATCACTTACCAACTTATAGTGACAAACGTCAGCGATGTAAGAAATGCAAAACCGGTTTTTCCTATATCTGTTGCAAGAAGTGCAATGTTTGGCTATGCTTAATTAAAGACAGAAATTGCTTTCATGGCTACCATTAATGGCATTTAAGATTTGTTTTTATAACTTATATTTATATTATAAACGATTGTTTACTGTAAATGTATATTTATGCTGAAAATGTTTTTTATTTGTATAGAAGAGAGTTAGTCAGTTCAAAACATAAGTAAAAGTTTATTTTTCTGTTAAATTGCTTTAATTTGTTCTTTAAATTTAAAAATAATCTCTTTTTTTTAAAGAAAACTATATTTATAATTTAATTCCTCATATTCCCATTGTTGCAGATATGCTACAATTAAATAATTGACTTTGCAAGTGAGATTTTTGGCTTTTATTATTTTATTCATAATCTAGGTCCTAAAACAGTTGGTTTTTGAAGGTTTCGGAATTTTTAGAAAAATTTAGGCTTTGGTGGGCGCTAAAGGGTTAAAGTAAACTAGTAAAGTGCGAACAACGTGGAAAGGTCAAATTGTTTGTCCAAATATCGATCCCATAACGACTTGCGTTTTAAAAAAATCTATTGTTTCTGTGCAATGTTTGTCCGATATCAATTCCACAATCCCTTGTGCTTCTAAAAAAATCGACTTTTAGAATACAAAATTTACGCTTCTATTTCACGTTGTTAATAGTTTGTTAACAGGTTGAAAAAAACTCTCGCGCGCTTAGTACCATCAAAGTTTTTTTTAAATAACTTTTTTGCTTAAGATTTTACATAACACAAATTTAGTTTTTAAAAAATTATTACTCATATAATTGTAAATTTCAAGTTATTACCACCTAACGCGTTATCTTTTGGGTAAGATAAACCACTAGAAAAATGTTTAAAATTTTGAAGTTTCTGTAAACCCCTCACCACTTTTTTATAAATTAATTACCCTTTGTTAGATTATATTAAAAGACAATGATTTTTTATTTCAAAAGTAAAAATAATTTTTTCATAAAGCTTTTATTTTGTATTTTATAGGTAAAAGAAGTGAAAAAATTTGATATTATTTTTGAAAAAATCTGAAAAATATGAGGTTTTTATTCAAACTAAATTAGAGAACTTGAAATTTAAAAAAAAGTTTACATTTATTATTAAAATAATATTTTGACTCTATATATTTCAAATATACTAAAAAGAAAAAAAAAAGTCTGATTTTTTCGTTTAAATTTAAAAACTTCTCTAAAAAAAAAGTAGAAAATAATTGTATTTTTTTTGTTTATATATCAGCTAAAAAAATGTTCCACCGAGTTCCACAAATATAAATATATATATATATATATATATATATATATATATATATATATATATATATATATATATATATATATATTTTCCAGTAAATTAACATTTCTACTTTAGAAATGTAAGAGGATTACTGCGGTCTCCTGCGGTATTGGAAGTTATTAAAGAAAAACAAATGTTGATGATTTTATAAAAACCTTGTTTTCTGCCATTTTTGCTAAGAACTTTATTATATCAAAACAAATGAAATTGGCGGGAAACTTAAAGTTAAGTTTCTTGCTTGAAGAACTTGTTCTCAGGGCCTTTCAGAGGTTTGGAGAGGCCTCGGCCAGTAAAAAATCGGAGGCCCCAAAAGAAAAATTTGCGCAAAACGCAACGCAAGATAATGCAAAGCCATTTAAGTCTTCAGATAGGTCAGGACCCAATAATGTCTAACTTTAAGACTAAATGCAATAAATTAAACAGACCGTCACACACAGATGTGGCGCCTTTTGTACGTTTTATCATGGAACTATAAAACAGATGGAAGTTCATCGAGCCGCAAACATCATAGCAATTTCAAGTCGTCTCGGGAGTATGCTTGTAACCGACAATAAAAAAAAAAATAAGTTTCACTGGATAAAAAAACAACAAAATTCACTGAAATGATCTTTACCATTAGTAATTGCAATTATTCAACAAAAGGTTTATTAAAAGCCGGTAATTAAATAGAACCACTTGATTTTAAAAGCATATGTTAGTTTAAGCTTCTTTTCTTGCTTCAAGTCATAACACGACATTTGATAAAAAAGACAACTAAAACAATTTTTAAAAAATCAAAAAAATTGTTTTTTAAATAACTTAAGTTTAAAGTTTTATTAGATGTATATCATAACTCCATTCATTCTTGTAGTACTCCATTCATTTAATATAAAGTTTATATAAAAATTGTTGTTTGCCGTTACGTTGCGCCATTTTTAATGTTTTTCTTGAATATTATTGGCGAACCTTCAAAACACTATATTTTTAAACTATTATAAACGTATCTATTTACGTCAACGTATAAAGATTAAGCGTTTAAGTACAGTCTTGATGTCGTTTTCTTATTGTTTACGAAACAAAAGGTTACAAGCATAGTCCCGAAGAATTTCAATGCGCTTGAACTTCCATCTGTTTTATACTTCCATGGTTTTATCAAGCCAACTAGCCAAGAGACGCGCTTGTCTACTAAAAACGCCATTTTGGGGAGGCCTGGGAATTAAGAAGGTACGACGTATGAGTGGAATGTTACACTGTTACTTTATTGTGAATGTTACAACTCAGATTTCACAAATGAATGATTCATGCATAAATAATTATGAATTGGTTTTTATTATTTGGTTTTTTTCGATATGTAATTATTTGTCACTATAAATGAATAGTTAAATATGTCACATTTTGAAAATGAAATCTAAAGAAATTCACTAAAATAAAAACAGAATGAATTAGTTTTAATTAATTTTCATAAACGCTTTTCTTGCTTTTTGTTCTGAAAATGCAGCAATTATATTTGAAAAATCTAGTTTTCGTGCAATATCGCAATTTATATTCAACATAGCAAGTCCATTCAACCGTTCCTGTCCCATAGTTGAATGATGATAATTTTTTATCTGCTATAAAACATTAAATGTGCGTTCGCCCGAAGCCGTCGATGCAGGCAAGCTGATAAAAATTCGTAATGCGATTGTAATGTTTGGAAAGACACCTGAAAGACCAAGTCCAAGTATTTCTTCCAGCAATTTTTTTGATGTGCGGTCTAGTTTAAAATTAGCACCATAGATTCTTTTAAAAAATAAAACCTCATTTTCAAGTTCTTGTGATATTTCTTTGTCATATTTGTGCTGAAAATGATGAGCAGCCAATACAAGATCTTCGTCATTCAAATTTTTAAACTCCCAGAGAAATCCAAAAAGTTTACAAATTTCTTGTAAAGACTGAAATCGTTGCGCGAGACCAGATTTAATTGAGTCAATGATGACAAAATATACATTGATTTTATAATACAACTCAGCATCATCTTGACTTGGAAAATGACGATTAGTTAAAAACTGACATGAAACACCAATATTTCTTGCAACAAATTTTGACTCATTTAAAATTTTATCAAATTGTTCACGCAACCTTTGAATGTCATTACATAGATTTTCAATGTTATCTTTTTCAATATCAAGAGTGGCATGGCGTGCCTCGATGATTAGATTTATCTGATGAATCATTCTGAGTAGCTTCATCCAGATAGACGACATCGAAATGCAATCAAATTTGGAAATACACTTTTGAATAGCATTGATTTCCATTTTAGCCTGGGCTGTTAAATAAAGCACCCCAAGTTCATTTAAAGCACTTCTTACTGAGTGTTTGTTAAAGCACTTCTTACTGAGTGTTTTTCAAATGTTGTGCAACTGGTTTAACACCATCAATCCGTGCTGACCATCTTGTCTTGGACATTCCATGCAACGAAACAGGAAGATGTTGTTTTAAAATTTCCCACCTATGAAGACTGCTACTGAATAAATTGTACATTTGCTGAATTCTTCTAAAATACGTTACTGCTTCTTTGCATGATTAAGCGCATTCGACACCAACTAAATTTAATGAGTGATTTCCGCAGCTAGAAAACATACAGTTTGGATTTTGTTGTATCAAAACCGCTTGCACCACGTTATACTTTCCAGCCATATTAGCACCGTTGTCTAAAGCTTGACCAATGCAGGCTTCGAAATCCAGCTTCAAAGTTTTCAATATTTCTAGTGTTCGAGCAGCGATTTCTCTTCCAGTTTTTTTTGAAAAATTTTCAAATAAAATAAATCTTTCTTCAACTGAAAAGTTTGAATTATCTAAAATTTTAACATAACGAATAACCAGAGTAGTTTGCTCCTTGTACAAGCAATCTGGAGTAGCATCAACTATTTTGAAAAATATTTTGCTTTCACAATTTCGTGGGGGATTGCTGTTTGAACGTGTGAACCTCAAATATCAATAAATTCGTTCTGAATTCGCATTGAAAGATAATGAGCTTGCATTCGCTGCTTACGCTGTTGTGATTCTCGAACATGTTTAACATGCTCAGCTAAAAGAGGGTCATATTTGCTAAGAAGCTCAATAATACCTAAAACGATTCCATTCGCTCGATCACCTATTCATTGGTTAGAACGAAAAAGTGCTAATCCACGTTCAGAAAGAAAAATAATAACATCTAGAACACGTTGGCATAATTTTTTCCAATTTTCAGTTTCAGTCTTGAGTTCTGATAAAAGTAAATTATCCACTGAAGTTTCACATAATGCTGCTCTACTAGCAGATTTTCATACAACATAGTTTTCTTTATGGTAAATTGAACTTTCGTGCAACGGAATACGATCTTTCAATCTTCTCCAACCTCTACTGATGCTCCATCCGGCAGAACTAGAGAAAAATGACACATTTGCAGCATTTTTGTTAAAAAGAAAACATGGTGCACAATACTAAGATTGTTTTTCAACACTCCAGAACAACCAGTCTCTTTTGCATGTTTCTCCATTTGCAAGAGTTTTGTTTAAGAAACGATAAGGAAATGCATGATGATTAGAGTCTTTAACGATATTATTTGGAATTTCAAAACAAGTAATCTTAAGAAAAGAGTTCACTTGACAAGAATTGTTCTTGTTGATAATTCCAATGTCAATAAAATTGAACGGATTACTTTGATGAATCGGATCAGTTATTTCTGTTTCCATATCTCCAATATTATTTTCACCTGCATTTTCCTGGAATGAGATTTCGGTTTCAACCCATTCCTGGTTTATAATATTTAAATTTCCTGCTGTTGTTCCAAAATTGGGTCTTCTGCAATTGGAACAACTATATTTTCAATGTTACCATTGTCACTCACACTTTGAGTTTGGTTTGCTTGTTCAATTTAAACTGTGTTTTGTGATTTTTTTTTTAAACTTCTTTGGCCAATTCTTTTCTCCGCCGCCTTTTACTTGCACCACTATCAAATCTTCTCTTCATTTTGATGGTATCTGGAAAAAATATTGAAATTTGAAAATATAATAAATTTATACATCAATCGAACTTATACAAATTTATAAAACGAATTATGTTTTAAAATTAAAAAATATTTACCAGAACAAACAAATATTACTATTCTCAAAGTTACGAGATGTAACGTACAAAACGCAATGTACAAAAGCGCAATATATCAATTTTATACAAAATGATAAAAAACAGTTCAAAACAAATTGATTTAATCTTGTTTAATGAATTACAACTAAAAGGTTTAAGAAAAAATAAAGCTACTAAAAAGCAGAACACTAAGTCATAACTTAAAAACTCGTATGAGTTAAAAGTAATTGTATCAATTTGATCAAGCGCCCGACGGAGGGCGCTTGATCAAAAATGATACAATTACTTTTAAATTAATTACAAATTAATTTATTATTTTAAGTTAACCTAAAGTTAAGTTGTTTAGAATAATTAGATTAAAATAATTACTTTGATATTTATTTTCGTGTTTAACAAATGTGATTTGAAAATGTGAGGCTCCAACAAAATCGGGGCCTCACATTTTCAAATCACATTTGGGCCATAAGGCCCAGGCCATATGGCCCATGTGGCTCCCTCTCTGAAAGGACCTGCTTGTTCTAATATTGATTTTAAATCATAAATATTAAATATAGTTTTAAAAAACGTGCTTTTGTCATTATATACTATTTAAAAGTTTGTTAAAATATTTATTGACAATTTTAAAGAACGGTTTATTATTCGATAAGTACAACATGTTTGGAAAAGCTTAACTGAACAACTTTGGTATTTCCCGTCTCAAGAAATACCAAATTGTTACATCCTGTAATAACACATATTACTTAGTTAACTTTATATTACATGTAATATAAAGTTAACTAAGTTATTATTACTAAGTTACTTAGTTAACTTTATATTACATGTAATATAAAGTTAACTAAGTTATTATTACTAAGTTACTTAGTTAACTTTATATTACATGTAATATAAAGTTAACTAAGTTATTATTACTAAGTTACTTAGTTAACTTTATATTACATGTAATATAAAGTTAACTAAGTAATATGTTTTATTACAGGATGTAACAATGTGAAAATTGTTAAAAGTCATAACAAGATAAAATTTGAAACAGTGTAAAGTAAAAAAATATGTAATGTATTTTAAAATGTGCCTAATATATTAGTTTTATTATATTGATGGTTCTTAAAAACGATAACAATGAAAGATTAGATCTTATCCCAATTATACGTGAATTAGGAGTTGATAAATTAAAATTATGGAAGGATTTACTTAATGAAATAAAAAATACTGAAAAAATTCGCAAAGAAAACTTAAATAAAGTTAAGCTTGCTTTAGTTATATTTATTTCAAAGGTGAAGAAAAAACTAAAACAATGTGGACGAAACTATGATACATTTATACAAAAAGAAAATCGTTGGCTTCAAAGAAATCTTATGAACAATAAAAATAGCCATTTTGGTTCTGGAACGCCCCATAAACAATGGAGTGTTCGTGGAGAGAGAAGCAAAAGAAAAAAAATAAAAGAACTAGCTACTGAAAATCATGAAGCTGTATTTTTAGCTTCTGCAAAAAGTACAAATGCTGCTGGAGAAAAAAAAAGCCTCTGTTTTAAAAAACAATATATCTAATGTTTTAGAGATAGAAAAAGTTGATAATACTTTGGATAAAATCTTTCCCATTAACATGAGTGTAGAGGATGCTCTTGCATTAAAAATGAATACTGATCTCAGCGATAAACAATATCAGATGATCAGAAACTCAGCTCTTGTACACAACGTACATATTTATCCTAACTTGCACAATATTTTCGTGGAAAAATTGAAATGCTATCCTGAGAATATACATTTTTCTGAAATTTCTGCAAAGTGTACTCTTCAAAGCATGTTAGATCACACTGTGAGTAGAATAACAGAAATGATTGATATGCCTAATTTTGGTCAAAGTGATGAAATATTTGGAGTTTTATATGGAAAGATTGGTTTTAATGGAGCATTAAGCCAAAGTATTTATAAACAGAAATACGATACAAGCAACGCAAGTATAGAGCTTAAGCATGAAGAAAATCTTTTCAGTACAGCTTTTGTGCCTTTATTGCTCAAAGTAGAAAATGGCGAATTTTGGAAAAATGAAAATCCTTCAAGCTGTCACTTTTGTAGACCTCTTCATCTACAATATAAAAAAGAGAGTTCGATTTTATCCAGAGAAGAAGAATCAGATCTAAAAAATCAAATAAATACCGTTAAAGACGTTTTGCAAAGTTTTTAATATTGCAGGAAGAGTTTTGACATTTAATATCAGCGATTGATCTTACAATGTTTGATAATAAAGTAGTTAGCGCACTTACAGAGACAAAATACACTCAATTCTGCAATGTGTGCAATGCTAAACCCAAGGAAATGAACAATTTTGACTTATTAAAAGCAAAAACTGAGAACTACTCGGCCTTGGGGCTCGCAATTTCAGCTTTGCATTGCTGGATAAAATGCTTTGAGTTCATTCTTCATTTGAGTTATAAAATTGAAATTAAAAAGTAGAAGCCAAAAACAATTGAGGAAAAACTATCTGTAGACTTAAAAAAAAAGAGAGATTCAGGTACTTTTCAGAGAACGGGTAAGCCTATACGTTGATATGCCTAAAACTGGGTCTGGAAACACGAATGACGGCAACACTGCCAGAAGAGCATTTTAAAAAAGTGAAGTTTTTTCTGAAATTACTAAAGTTGATTGTGATATCATTAGAAGATTGCATAATACTCTCATAACCATATCTTGTGGATATCCTATTAATATCAATGAATTAGATTTATACTGCACTGAAACAGCTAAACGTATAGTGAGTTTATACAACTGGTATGTTATGCCTCCTACTGTACATAAACTGCTACTGCATAGTTCTTCTATATCAAACAATTTACCTTTGCCAATCGGGGTATATTCGGAAGATGCACTAGAGAGTTTAAATAAGAATAAGAATTTAAATAAGAATAATAAAAATTTAAATAAGAATAAGAAATTCAGATAAAAATAAACAGATAAGAAATTCTAGACTCAAGCACACGGCAAAAATATCAAGGTTAAACACAATGATGAATCAGATGCACTACCTTCTAGTGAGATCAGATCCAAAAATATCAAGCATGTCTTTTAGAAAACATAAGAGCTATCGAGGAAAACCGTTACCAGATGAAGTTTTTAAATTAATTGTAATGTAAATAATAAATTTAATGTAAAAAAAAACAATATTTTTTTCTCTATGTATTAACATACTTTAAAAACCATTTTTATAAAAATATCAAGTAGAGTAATATATCAAAAACTAAAAAAAAAAAATTTGTACGCGTATAGTCCTTTAACACGCGTCAGCGCGCATTTTACGCGTCGAAGCTGCGCGTTAAAAAAAATTATTAACAAATTTGAAATCTTTGACTTAAAAATTATTATTTTAATATATAACATTATTTATTTACGATTTATGTCACTTTTTATTTAATTTTTGCCGTTTTTTGATTGTCTTAAGTCACTGTGCGTCGCTTTATTTGGTGTTTAATAGTATCGAATTTTTCATTACGACCGTCACATTAAAAAATAAAAAATAAATAAATACAAAAAACAACGTAAAAACACTTATAAAACTTCAAGTAAAAACTATGAAACTCACAATATAATAATATCAATATGTGCTAAATAGTATTTAATAGTAAAATAATAGCATTTAATAGAAAAATAATAAAAAAAATAGTAAAGATAAATGTCAGACTTGATGCAGCAAACGGCACGGTAAATAAAAATGTATGTTGTGTGTATTTAGTAAATACACACAACATACATTTTTAGTAATTAGTATTTAGTAAATAAAGTATTTAGTAAATACACACAACATACATTTTTATTTACCATGCCGTTTGCTGCATCAAGTCTGACAAAGTTGTTTTGTTTAGAAGTGGTAAAAAGTAAACGTTGCGACCTTCACGCTACGTAGTATTAATTTTTGAAAAATGTTCAGATCTTTATTGCTCTAACAATATTGATATACTTTGCATTGGTATTTTATATAAAAATTAAATTTGAATGTAAGTCAATAATTTGATCATCTTTTTTTAAGCCACTAAACTTTTTACAAAAATTTGGAACGCTTCACGAATTTGCGTGTCATCCTTGCGCAGGGGCCATGCTAATCTTCCCAATTTTAATATATGTGTAGCCGAAGCTAACACATTTATTGAAACGAACAGCTTAAAAGCAAACTTGAAAACTTTATCAATAATATACGCTTGTGGTGCGTATTTTTGAAAACTACTGAATAGACGAGTTGCTTTAAAGCGCGTGCGCAAAAACGACAAGCAAAACATTTGATCTAAAGTTAAGAAAGCAAAAGTTATGGCGTGAAGTTTGTACAAGTAAACTATGTGAATAGAAAGTCTCACAAAGTGGAACCAGCGCGTTAAAATATGTCAAAATTTGTTAACCTGTATCAAAAAATACTTTGCCAAGTTTTAAAAAGTAAAATAAATTTAAAATTAACAGAATATACTTTTATTAATCTATACTTCTATCAATCCAGCGAAGTTATAGAAAAACCGAGAATTCGTATCAAAATTTACATAAATTAGCATCAAAAGCTGTTGTTTTTAAAATTATTAGTTGGTAAATTGATGAAACAGAGAACAGTAATGAAACAGACACTTCATATGAAAATGAGTTTTACTTTAATCCTAAAGATCAGGCTGAACCATTTACTGCTCATTATGAGCCATTGCTTATTAACGAAAGCCAAGATAAAATTACAAAAAAACCAAAAGTTTTATTCAAATTGTTAATGAAATCTCACCAAAATTAACTTAATGCAATAGAAAATTTGTCTAAAACTTGAAGAAAAAACACTTCTTGAAAAATTCACATGGCTGGACTTCATCTGTTTATAAAATACTGAATCTGTTTATAAAATGTGGTACAATGTAAATATTGGTAACCCCTCATAAGTCTTTATAAGTCAAATAGTGTAATATTCGAAAAATGTTTGCTATATTCCTAAAGATTATAATCTTAAAATTGAAAGTATTGAATAATATAAACTTTTGAATCCAATGTCTCCACAACAAATAAATCTTTCCATAAATGTCGCAGGTTTGTACATTGATGTTGATTATGGTTAGTGCAAGTCAAGATACAATCGAAAAATGAAATTGTCATGGAACGGGTATTTTTTAAATAAAATTTTCTTTAATTATAGAAACAGCTTAGAGTTGTGGAAAGATGACCAAAATTATCCACCTAATAAAAATGGTCTAATTAAAACTAATCACAAGTATTACTATCAAATACAACAACAAACGATGGTAACAAAAACAAAATGTTATCTGTTGAAATAATGGAAAATGACAAATGATATACTCTGTATCTAAAAAATTCTGTTATATTTAAAAATAAACTTAAAACCGTTTTTTAAGAAATTACATTTAAAAAATTCTAAGAAAAAAATCGAATCCAAATCAACTACAGCTGTTCTGCGTGTGTAAATGTTCAAAATTTCTTCTTTTGACTAAATGTATTAATTTTCATTGTCCAGTCAAATGGTATATTTACCTCAGTCTTCAAATTAAAAATGGTTTTCCTTTACCTGCATTTTGCAGCATAAAGACAATATAATAAGCTTTTGTGTAACACTACTAAATAAAATTTAACTTCTTTTTTAATTGGAAAACATATTTTATGATTTGTTGACAATCCTTTTGTCATAAAACATTATATAAACGTTGTAAGTATTTAAGATTTTTAAAATATTGTAGATAAAATAATTAAAATATATAAATTTTTTCTTTATAAAAAATCTTGATACAGAGGACTTTTTTCATAAATTGATACTTTCCCCCCCCCCCTACTTTAAAATCCGTATCGTCGGCCCTGCAGACGACATTAATGGAAATATTGTTATTGGTTTTTATGACATCATTAAAAATAATCTTTTTTAAATTTTTGGTTACTCAATTAAACAAGCAATTTTTTCAGATGCTCTCACAATAGCTAGAGTTACTCCAATCTTCAAAGGAGGTGAACTAACTAAACTCAATAAGTTCAGCCTAATTCCAAAAGTTTGAAAAGAATTTTAAGACCGCAAGGAATTCTGGGAGCGCCTAAATTACTACAAAAAAAAAAAAATTTGTATAATAAAATATATATCTAACTATAAAAAAAATATTATAAAACAATAATATGGATTTAAAGAAAACAACTCTGCTGAACATGCAATACTTCAACTTACTAGAAGTATTGCAAGTTCATTTGAAAAATTACAATATAGTCTAGGCATCTTCATAGATTTATCAAAATCCTTTGATACTAATGATCACGAAATTCTTTTTAAAAAACAGCAACTCTATGAAATCACAGGGAATGTATTATTATTATTAAAAATCTCAAAACTTGGAAACCATCAGTTAAAATAGATTCAATATATTATGCGGAGTTCCTCCAGAATCGATTCTAGGATCTTTGCTTTTTTTAATTTATATTAATGGTCTATATAAAGCATCAAATTTAACAAGAATTATGTTTGCCGATGACACGAATCTTTTTCTAACTGACAATGACTTACTAACATTATTTAACAAAATGAATAATAAACTCATTAAAATCTAACTGGTTTAAGTCAAACAAACTATCAATAAGTCTCGAAAAAACTAAATCGATCCTTTTTTATCCAGCTTTAAAAAAAAAATCTCGATTATACCTTTCTTGTGTATTGATAATACTGAAATAGAGCTAATGGTACTAGTTTCTTAGGTGTTTACATTGATCAAAACCTCTTATGGAGAAATCAAGTTAACAATTTAAACAATAAAATTGCTAGAAGTATAAGAATGTTATACAAATCAAGAACTTTTTTAAGGAAATGTACTTTAATTCAATTATATTACTCATTTATTCATTGCCATATTATTTATGCTTATATTACATGGGGTGGTGTAACTAAAAGTATTCTAGAAATTCTTTATCGTCAACAGAAGCATATTGCATGTCTTATAAATTTTAAAGACCGTTTTACTCATGCCAGGCCTCTTTTACGTAAAATGAATATTCTTAATGTATATCAGCTTAATGTCTATAATATTCTTTGCTTTATGTATAAAGCTAACACTTCCCCTTATCATTTTTATAATTTATACTCACATAAAAAAATAAGCAAATACTATCTTCGAAATGAAAACTTTATCCAACAACTTTTTACGCATTTTTATCGAGGAGCTTTTTTATAGAACAAAATGGTTTTCAAATATTTTGATTTTTCTCAAGAATGGAATTACAACACATTCAAAAGAAAACTTAAACAGATAACTTTATCTATCGGTAACATACTCTTATATTTTGAATTTTTATAAAGTAAAATTTTTAAAATTTAATTTTTAGTACTTGCATATAAAATTGTTATTTATCTTTTGCGTTTATTTATTTTTTATTTCGACGAGAATATACATACTTAACACAATAAATGTAACGATATAGTTGAAAAACAACTTTACGGTGGCTTCTCTAATTTTCAATTTGCTTTTGTTGCTTTCATTGCTCTTTCTCCATACCAATTTTCTATAAACTAATATTTTAAAAAATAACCAAAATCCACCTAAAATAGTTGACACTGAAATTAAATTATTGTTAATAAAAAGTTAAATCCATCTGTGATAAATAGAATTGATAACCCTAATATAAGATATTATAAACTTCCATTTATAGGATTTTACTCAAATTTTACTAAATTTAAATTTAATAATATTCTCCGAAACTATGATTAAGACAAGCAAAAAAATTAGACTGCGTCTTATTAACAAGGGTAATATTAATCAGTTTAAAGTGCAACTATCATTGCTCCATTGGAAACATGTAAACTTTAACGATGACGCAAACTCTATATATCATAACTTTTTCAACACATTTATATTCTATCTACAATGCAAATTTTCCATTTATAGAAAAGACAATAAATCCGAAAAAAACATTTAATCCCTGAATTACCAAAAATTTTCAAAAATCATTGAAGATCAAGCAGAAACTGTATATAAAGTATTTAAAAACAAAGTTCCCAGAAAATAAAAAATATACAAAGATTTTAAATATCAGTTTGAAAAAAATAGAAAAAATTTGAAAAAAAATTACTACCCAAGCTTAATCGATAAGTATAAAAATAACTCCAAACGTACATGGGAAATAATAAAAGAAATAAGTGGAAAACAAAAAGACTGCTCAGGATTCCTTCCCCAAGTCATCAAGGTTGATAACAGAATCATCTATGAACAAAAAGAAATAGCTTGCGAATTTAATAATTTTTTTGTTAAAAATGGTCCTGAACTGGCCAATAAGATTCCAAAGACGCAGACAATATTTAGTGATGTTCTAGTACCGATGAATGATTGCATTACATCTGGGGAGTTGTCTTTTAAATTATCATTTGAAGAATTTGAAATAGCATTTAAAACTCTGAAAAAAATAAAGCTATTGGAGCAGATGACATTAATGGTAATATAATTCTAAACTGTTTTGAATAATTAAAAGATATTCTCTTTAAAGTTTTTAGCGCGTCAATTAATCAAGGAATTTTTCCTGAACAACTAAAAATAGCAAAAATTACCGCAATTTTTAAAGGTGATAGGGCTGTTATTAGCAACTACCGACCCATTACTATCTTACCTATATTTTCAAAAATATTAGAAAGAATTATGTATAATAGAGTATGATAGATTATTTTCAATGCAATAACCTACTATATAGCAATCAATTTGGCTTTAAAAAACACAACTCCACGGAACATGCAATCATTCAATTTGTACGCGAAATTTCAAAATCCTTTGAAAATTCCCAATACACACTAGGTATCTTTATTGACCTATCTAAGGCTTTTGATACTGTAGATCACATTATCTTACTGCATAAGCTTAAATATTATGGTATAAACAAAAAAACTTTAAGGTGGTTTGAAAGCTACCTATCAAACCGTAAACAATTTGTTTCTTGTAAGGATGATTGCCAAAAAAATTTATTAGATATATCTTGCGGTGTTCTTCAAGACTCTATATTTGGACCCCTATTATTCTTGATTTACATTAATGACTTAAATAAAGCTTCAAATCTACTTAGCATTATGTTCGCTGATAATACTAACCTATTCCTTTCTGATATTGAAATCTCCAAACTGTTTTGTAAAATGAATTACGAACTTAAAA